TCACTTTAATTGAGTTTCTTTCATTTAAAGTATTTGATTAGAGTATCGTTTTTTTCTAAAGTAGTTTGTTGACAGCACTTTTGATTACTCTGTCTTTCTGTTGTATCTGTTAGTACTTTTGGTTCTAACGATCTGCAGTTTTCCACCTTTTTGGTCATTGATTATTTTTGTTACTGAATATTTTTGCATCTGGTTCTTTAAAAAAACCGTGTTTAAATGACTGGACATTGCAAAAAAAGTAATTGCCAACGCCCGGGCTGTCGTTATCCTGTTGAAAGCGGTATGCAGTGCAATGATTGCAAAGGCTGGTACCACGAAGTTTGCACAAATTTAACGCCTGCAGCTTTCAAACGGTTCAGTAAGAATGGTTGCGTATGGCTCTGTCAACAGTGCTGTTCGGATGCTAACAGCTTGCTAACCGAAGCCATCTCATTGGTTGGTGCTGCTAAAAAATGTTTTGGCAAGAGTGGTCGCGACACATCAACAAGTACTCGCTCCGTTGACACGCAAATTGGCGTGAGGCAAACTAAAGTGAATTCGAAAATAGATGACTCGCACTGACCAAAGGAGGGAGAACAGTCTTCAAAGAGGTCTGTCCTAACTAAAAACTCAAGGAAAGAAGTTATTTCTGTCACACGTCTTCAAAATGGTATCCAAAAAGAAAAACATAGAAGCCGCAACCGTAAGGCTCGATCAGTTTCCAGTGGGACACATAACCTGACCTCCCAAGTCATCGAAAACCCTCCGGAATCCCACAGTATGTTTGACGCGACTGTGGTTGCTTCTCCAAGCAACGTAGATGAACGGGTACAGGTTGTAAGGAAGAAACAGAAAAACGATATAAGAAGGAATCCTGCCCCCACAAAAGAAGTCGAAAAATCGAAGGCTGATCACAGCAACAGATCAGTCATTTTTCATAGGATCAAGGAGAGCGAAAGCTCTGAACCAAAAACTTGTTTTGAGCATGGCATTGTCCTGATAAAACAGCTACTTAATCAACTCATGCCTCAAAATATCTCCGGAGTCACCTTGCCAAAAGTGTATAGACTAGGTAGTCTAGCGAACTTGAAGCCTAATCAATCTAGACTGATTAAAGTAGTATTCAAATCTTCGAATGAAAGGGATTTAATTTTACAGAATGGACATAAATTAAACGGTTCAGGAGTTTTTACCGAAAAGACTTGCCGTTGGCAGACCGTGTAAAAAGACGGGAAGCCGAAAAAGAACTCTAAATAGGTTAGGCGCTGGCGAAAAGGGCCTGAAAATTGTAAATTTTCGGGTTGTGAGGCCTCATCAGAGAATGATGCCGAAGCCACCCTGGGTCAAACACGAAGCCACTTAAATAGACTACGGATCTGTTACACTAATGCCCGAAGCTTGCTCAATAAGCGATCGGAACTAGGTGAACAGATTGACTCTACAGAGCCAGACATAATCGCAGTCACAGAAACCTGGCTGACACAGTCTATAGATAATATGGAACTCGATTTTGAGGGTTTTACTTTAGTAAGGACCGACAGAATACATAAGCGTAAAGGAGGAGGAGTAGCTCTATTCATTAGGAATGCTATCCCGTTTATCATTATTGATAGTGATCCCATGAAAGTGGGACGTGTGAATTGGTTAGTTGCCTCTTGAAATTCAAGGAGCAAGAGCTGTTAATTGATTTGGTCTATTGCAGTCCAAGCTGTGAGGTAAATGATTTCCTGCTAAACAGGCTCAAAAATTGGTCGCAAAGCGGTCTATGTCTATCCCTAGGGGACTTTAATGCACCTATGGTAGACTGGGGAAATTTGCGAACTGAGTCGCCAAATAATTCCTTCGAGCAGGAACTAGTTGATGCGATTATAACATGTGCCCTAGTGCAACATGTGAAAGAAGCGACTAGGTACGACCCGGACACTGAATCATCCTTATTAGATCTTATATTAACTCACTATTAGGATGACGTTGCAAACCTTCTTTACATGCCACTCCTAGGTAAAAGTGATCACGCAGTTTTAACTTTTGACTTCCATATAACTGTCAATCACGAGCACGCGTCAACTCAATCCAGACCTAACGTCTGGAAAGCAAGCATACCAGATATCTTGCACTCGGCATCATTGGTAGATTGGACAATAGACTCAGAGTCCTCAATTAAAACGGCTTGGAACGCATTCCGAAATTTATACTTAAAAGTTACCGCACCTCACATTCCTTGGACTATACCAAGGGAGCCGAGAAACTCCCCACCATGGTTCAGTAGGGAGGTTCTCATCATTCTCCGTAAGAGAAGAAAAATGTGGGATAGATTTAGGTTACTGGGGACTGATGAGACAAAATCTCAGTGTCAAAAAGCTCAGAATACCTGTGCCTCGACCCTCCGTTAGTCTAGAACGCTGTACAGAGAAAAAATTGTTAAGGAATCCATAGAATGTCCTAAACGCTTGTATTTCTATATAAACCAAAGGACAAAAAGAAGAGGAAATATTCCTGCGCTGTGGGGAGACAGTACTGCCGCATCATTAGTGGAAGATGACTTTGGTAAGTCTCAAGTGTTCTCAAACTACTTTAGCAATGTATATATCATTGAAGCACTCTTCCCGTCAGCGCATACTAACCCCCTCACACATACATTGGATAGCGTGACCATTAAAGAACTCGATGTCTTTGGTCTGCTAAATAAGCTTGACATAGGTAAATCCATGGGGCCGTCCTAGGCTACTAAAGGAATTATCTAACTTCGTTGCGAATCCTTTAATTATATGCTTTAAGCTATCCGTAACGCAGGGCCGTTTACCAAAAGACTGGAAGAACGCTATAGTAAGTCCTGTCTTCAAAACAGGTACGAAACATAAACCTGAGATTTACCGACCCATTAGCCTAACTAGTGTGGTTGTTAAAATCTTAGAAAAGATTATTCGGAAGGAGCTGTTTAAGTACCTCGATGTAAACCGAATCCTTTCGGAGAAACAGCACGGTTTCAGAATAGGTTGTTCTTGTCTCACTAACTTATTAGTCGCTTGTGAAAGCTGGTGCGCTTTCAAGGACCAAAAGTTACCTGTAGACGTGGCTTACATTGATTTCAGAAAAGCTTTTGACAAGGTTCCGCACAACCGGCTGTTATATAAGCTGAAAAATGTCGGAATTGGAGGCAATCTATTGATGTGGTTAGAAGACTTCCTTGTTGGTCGCCAAAAAAGAGTACGGGTGAACTCAAAGTTATGTAGCTGACAAACTGTGCTTAGTGGGGTGTCCCAAGGTACAGTTTTGGGACCAGTGTTATTCCTCTTGTATGTAAATGACCTTCCTCACCCATTATCATCATCAGTCTTGCTATATGCTGACGATGTCAAGATACGGAGAACGATACGATGTAAGGGTGAGAGTTTAGAACTCTTAAACGACCTGAAGAAACTATATAAACGGTTTCATACTTGGCAGTTGCCGATAAATACTTCCAAGTGTGTTGTAATACTTATCAGTCATCAAGGTACAGATACATACACGATGAATAACACTGAGCCACCTGTTGTCCAGACACATAATGACTTAGGAGTCATCGTTGGCCAAGATCTGAAGACTACTGCACACTGCGGTGCAATAGCCGTCAAAGCTATTAGAACTTTATGGTCAATACGTAGGGCTTTTACTCATGTCGACGCTCAAACGTTTTTGACTTTGTATACAGTGTTCGTACGTCCTAAACAAGCGGCTAGCCCCTGCTTAAAAAGACAGTGAGCTTTTGAAAAAGGTCCAGAGTGCAGCAACTAAGCTGATTCCCGGAATAGCGAAGCTTCCGTATGATGCTCGACTGGCCAAGCTAAACCTATTCCCTTTGTCATATCGTAGAACTAGAGGCGATTTGATTACAGTTTTCAAATTGCTTAGTGATAAATTTGCACCTGATATGCCCTCATTTTTCTTGCCTTTCAAAACAGAGAATTTTCTAGGGCACTCCAAAAAACTTCACAAGCCCAGAACAAATTACTTGTCAGCTGGTTTTCGACTTTCCCACCGAATCATCAACGAGTGGAATTCATTAACTCAACACGTGGTTGAAGCTCCAACCGTAGATTCTTTCAAAAGAAAGTTGGATCAGCTGAGAGAACACAATTGCCAGGACTAACACAAGCCATCAAGCCTCCTGTCCTTTCCAAACTGAAACTGAGCTACACTCCTTTTTTGTATCTCTTTTCATAGTCTCGAAGACAAATTGTTACGTCCAAAAATAAGTGCATTTTATTTAGGAAAATGTTCTGCAAATGACTTGGTGCTTCCGATTGGATTTTATTTCTAGGCAGTATATGCAGATGACTTATATTGTTAATTCAGTTCGACGTTATGGTTCTCAGTACATCTGTACGAAATTAGAATTTGTGAAGGCTTGTAGGCAGATCAAGGTCAGATGGAGTTTTCGTGTGTTTCCGAAATAGAACATTGCTTAGGAGGAATAAAACAGTTTTTGAGGTGCCCCATATGGTGAGTTACTCAATGGAATAAGTTATATTGGAATAGTTTGGATGATGTTCTGAATCCTGTTGTAACACCATGCTCTCATATATATTGCAAGTTTTGTATGGATAAACATTTTGAGAAGAGAAGAAGTGCAAACTGTCCGCTTTGTAACAAGAATCTTTCTTCCAGGTGATATTTTGCCTTTGACTTTACTTTCCAGGTCTTTAAAGAGTTCAAGCAAAGTTGTAACTGTAATCGACTTATGCAAGAAAGTTATATCGACTTATGAATCTGAAGCAAAAACTAAACGTTGGTTATGTGATTTTGCTGTTTAACTCCTTTAGTTGTTTCACGGGACCTTGTAGGTAGCTTGCATCTCAGTCAGGAACTGACACAGGTAGTACTATATTTATATTAGTTAATGCTTTGACCATTAGGTGGACGTAACTGCTTCATGTGCCTTACCAAGTAGTAGAAACTCCAAAGATTTTCAAGTCAACGGTGAGGAGTTGCGTCCTCGACCTCGCAATCGCATTCTTTTAGGCACCACCGCACGCACACAACGAACAAAGCAAATAAACAAGCAGCGCAATGCTCCACCCTTTGAAGAGGTTCTTACCCAGCCAATGCGCAGTTTGTGTGCCTCTACCGAAGTAAAAGAGTCTTGTTTGCCAAAGCAAAATGCAGAGAACCATGACGCGTTCCTCGATATATTTAGTCTTACACAACAAACCCAGCCGATGATAGATTCATCCGATAGTGGTTCATTGTTTGCACCAGTTGAAGGTATGGGTCATACAGACTTGTCAGACAATACTCGTGTAAGTCACACTACTCAAAAACGTGAATCAAAACCTATGTCAAAATTACTTCGGAAAACTTCGAAAAGGATTAAGCGTGCTGCATGTCTGCCGCCTCTCCCACCAGTCACGCGAACTAACGTTTTGACGCGTGATAGTCCAGAAGCTGTTTTTCATAGCGCTCTTTCTTCACATAACTCTGTGTCACTGAAAAGGTCATCTGATTCACCTTTTGCAGATGGGAAAAACAGGAAACAATGTCGAAGAGAATCGAATTGTTCTGTTTTGTCTGGTCACGGGTTGGTTACGAAAACGCACGAGGTTTTATGTCATGTACAACCCTCAGAGAATACATGTATCAACACTAAAAGCCTTAGCAGTCTCTTCAACCAGGAGGGAACCAAAAGTAAGTTGGATATAGAACCAATTGGTCCCTATAAACCAACGTCAGCTTGCAATCTAAAGAAACGTTCTCACTCGTTCAGTGGGTCTTTGTCTCATACCTCGTCAGTACTAGCTGGTAAACGCTTGCTTCAAAAGTATCGTAGCAGACCTCACCGTCTGTCAACGATTCAGCATAGTATTTCTGCCAAAAGTCCTGGTTGGTCTCGTTGGCGCCAAATGTGTCACGAACTGAGACGTCGAAGTTCGTCATTGCGAATAACATTCCACAGGTCATCTAGTTTGGTTGGTAAAATTGGATCAAAAGCTTCTGAACCACACAAAAGTCACAAGAAACGTACTATTAGAGATTTCTCTAGACGTTCCTCCCTTTCCAGTCTCGGCATTTCTTTACCTAAATGGGGACGTAGTGTTAATCGAAGCAGACGTAGGACCAGTGAGAAAACAGTTGAAACTCCTTTGCATCATAGTAAGCAAGAAGATATATCTGATATTTCACCTAATATCGTCCAAGAACAAAGTACAACATCAAACAAATCTCAAGATGGTTTCAGTCCAGTATTGCGTTTAACAAAAGCAGATTGTCCTAAAGAAACGTGTCATTTCATTATGCCTTTGCGACGTCTGATTTCTCGTGACTACTTTCATTCGAAGTCATTGCGCTCTCGTCTTCGTTCTTCTCTGCGTCAAAATGAAGCTGTTGTTTCTCCTATCATTCCGGTTAAATCACCACATGGTTACTCTGCTTATAAATGTGATTTGGACTCACCTGAACCTCGTGGACAACTAAACGGATCTAACATCTCCAATACATCATATTCAGCAGTAGATTCCTGTGAAATTTATTGTCAGCCTTTACATTGTAGTGCTTGTGGTGAGACGCTAGTATTACATACAGATATCAATAGTGCAAATATGATATCGCCAGGACCACAGTTTTCGGAATTGCTACTCCGTCCACCTGTCTCCATTCTCTCGAGCTCTATGTCTTCCTCATATTGGCAGGCTGAAGATCCAGGAGATACAATCTTTACGGATACTCATCTAGATGCTCTGGTTGAGGTGAATCGACGTTACATATCAGAATCTGATGGAGATTGCAATCTAAAGCATTCTAGTGTATCTCTTCCCAGAAATTCATATAGATCGTGCCTCCAAACCAATTCGGTTAGTTTACTTTTAAACAGTGGAACAGGCATTTTGTTTATAAAAAACATCCTATAAACCTTTAAGCATATATTCTGAATGAGTCCGGTTTTAAAATGTAAACAGACCATGAAGGACTTAATTCTTACTTTTCCGAGAGTAGTGTCTGGTTATTTTCAGCATTCATCTTCAAGACAGTCTCTACCAGAGTATCTCTGCACTAAGGACCTTGCACATTGTGATCCTTATGAGTGTTTAGTCTCTTAGATGAAGCATCTGATCGATTTTGGATACGGAGATGAAGAGGCTAACAAAATATCATTTTTTGAATGCTTTGGATAACAGTACTAGAGTGCTTATGATGTGTTTATCATTCTCCAAGTGCAAAATGTTGCTTCAGTGCCCATTCACACTAGCTTCTAGTCTGACCAACATTGAATTGAGCGCGTTGAGTATTTAGTTTGTGATCTCAATCTTATCATCCTCTGAGCTTAATCGACTGATGACATCTTTTTAGGGATAATAAAGCTCACTTAACTTGCTTTCCGTAACATATACAAACTGCAATTACTTATCGAAGAATGAATGTACTGCGGAGCAGTTCGCTCCAAATTACTTTACGACTGTGAAATATGGCTCGTAAAGTTCGGGCGGACGTACGAGTTACAAATATCTAGTAAATACCTTTAAACCATTACTCGTATGCAACAAAGCCATACACTAGTCAGCATTGCTATTAGTGTATACTGATTTGGTTGTAAACTCGCATGGATTTTAGTGACCGATCTGTTTTCTTTGTTACCGAATAAGCTGTATGTGATAACCGCTTAATTTGTTAATAGTACATAAATCCATAAGAGCTACTTTTTGTCCAACTTTATCTGTAAATCATATTTCTCCAAATATTTCTTGTATTTTTAAATACTTAAGTGTCGTTAATATTTACTAAGACTAAACCATTTAAAATTTAATTTTTGTAGAGAGACAATGCACTTAGTCACTGTGAATTTCAATCTAGTGTTAAGGTTCCAAATTTAGTTGAACCGTCACTGAAACCTTACAACTCACCTACATTACCTTCAAATAGTTCTTACAGTAATGCTCAACCAAATAAATCGGGAGAAATACATGGTGAAAACATAGCGAACAGTGAATCTCCAACCAAGCAGCACAATGATTTCTCTGGGTTTCCCGATCATTCTACTTTTTCCACTTTTCAAGGTAGCAGCAGTGAGATTATGCCAACCGTGGTGAGTTTATTTCATGTGTCGAAGTAATTATTTCTAGTTCGGTTTTGCTTACTACCTAGTGTTTTATTTTATTATGTAAATTTCATCTAGTTTATGCTAAACTATTTATCTGAGTTGACCAAACCAAAGAATATCTAAACCTTTTCGCGGTGTAATACAATAATAATGATCTTAGTTGTAAACTTACTAATTAATAGTTTTAAAACGCCTTATAAAGTCAGGTACTGAAAGTTTTCATCTCAAGATTATCTACCGTTATATACGTTGACAAAATCTATTACCCTTGGTTTAGTTGGTCCAATAATTATTTCGAAGTACTAAGGCATTTTGTTTTACAGTATGCTCAGTATATTTCGAGTCATTTTTCGTTTCGCTCTTGGAAATATTTGTTCAAATTGTGTGGTAATTTTGTTGATGTTTAGTAGAGAAGGTAATAGAAGAAACATGAGTTGAATTATAGATTAACAAATAAAAGCGATTTTTATTTCAAAGCAGTCCCTCATAACTTCCAGTTTTATCCAGATTTGTAGCTGATTTGGGAATGTTTGACACCTGTTGCTATTTTACTGTTCTCGCCAACAAGTTGCGTTTACGTTTTTGTTTTAGATCGTTATCTAACTTTCAGAAAACGAGTGAACTTTTGTACGAGTACTATGTATTCTACTAGTTTTGTAGAGTAGTGATATTAACTGATTTTTAAACCCTAGGGTTATTAGTTGAAAGACAAGTGGTTGTGTCGTCGAGTCGCAACGCTACACACAAAGAATATCTAAACCTTTTCGCGGTGTAATACAATAATAATGATCTTAGTTGTAAACTTACTAATTAATAGTTTTAAAACGCCTTATAAAGTCAGGTACTGAAAGTTTTCATCTCAAGATTATCTACCGTTATATACGTTGACAAAATCTATTACCCTTGGTTTAGTTGGTCCAATAATTATTTCGAAGTACTAAGGCATTTTGTTTTACAGTATGCTCAGTATATTTCGAGTCATTTTTCGTTTCGCTCTTGGAAATATTTGTTCAAATTGTGTGGTAATTTTGTTGATGTTTAGTAGAGAAGGTAATAGAAGAAACATGAGTTGAATTATAGATTAACAAATAAAAGCGATTTTTATTTCAAAGCAGTCCCTCATAACTTCCAGTTTTATCCAGATTTGTAGCTGATTTGGGAATGTTTGACACCTGTTGCTATTTTACTGTTCTCGCCAACAAGTTGCGTTTACGTTTTTGTTTTAGATCGTTATCTAACTTTCAGAAAACGAGTGAACTTTTGTACGAGTACTATGTATTCTACTAGTTTTGTAGAGTAGTGATATTAACTGATTTTTAAACCCTAGGGTTATTAGTTGAAAGACAAGTGGTTGTGTCGTCGAGTCGCAACGCTACACATAAAGCAGAAAATAGTGAAAACAATTAATTTAAAAGCCTCATATAATTCTGTTTCAACTATACTTCATGGGTGTGTTTTAGCAAAATTATTTAATTGGATGTAGTTTTGTTGCTAATCGTTTCAATTGTCTAGAAAAACACGACATATATTTTTGGCAATTTTAGTGAACTTTTAACATAAATTATTTTAATTGACATCCCAGAAAAATTGCTAGTAAACCTATCTAACTTGATCGTGGTATGTCTGATTATTTTAGGATCGGGAGCGTTTGCGCCACGAATGTGAAGAGTTGGAAGCCGTAGTCGCAGCTTTACAGAAGCAGTTGGAGGCTCAAGCTGACGAACTCAGTCCTGAATCAACTGCTGAGATCCTTAAATCAGCCTGCACAGAACCTTTGGATGATGCCCCTGTTAGTGTAACATCATTTACTGAATGCGTTCCACAGCAGAATCACAATGAAATACGAATGTTTCCTGGTAGTGATGTAAAACATGTCATAGTAAGCGTCGAAAAGCTTCAAACTCATGAACCAATGGCCATTCAGTCGTCCCCAAAATTGTCTCAGGTTAATAAATTTATTTACTTTGCTAGTTTCTTTTAACCATAGTGTTTTCCCTAAGTCTATTCGTGTTCTGTTGGACTTGTGAAATACATACAATCAGATTGTATCGTAGTTAGGTGATACAGCAGGTGTAGTACAAAATCCTAAACGGTTTTATCGCATCCCACGTATTCTAACTTTTTGGAACATGGATATTTTACAGAAAAATGATTCTTTGTTATAACTAGTGAACGAAATGGTGGCTTAATGATTACCATATCTGACTTTCAATCCCTAAGTCCTACGTTCAAATCCTGTCCGCGCTATAGCACTTCTACAATTAAGTTTGTTTACGGTTAATTCTGTCAAGTCCTTCAACTAACTTATTCAACATGTAAATTGGTTATTGGGTTGAGTGAACGTTTAAGTGTTTAAATGCTTGCACCTCATACAGTTCTGACGCTAACTGTTAACAAAAGACTAATAGTAATTTACGCGTTTCGTGTGCTATCCCATTGTTTTTTTATGTTTCGGTTTTCCGACTATGATCCGCTATCAAGTAACAGTAGTTCAGTCTGAATTTCCACTAAACCCTCTAGCTCAACTTGGTTGTATAAACATGGTTTTTGAATTGCTCAGAAGTCCCATTCCTTGGGAAGATTCCGTGTTTGGTTTAGGGAATTTGTTTTTACTATTTTAGTTCAATATGAAATTTTTCATAATTTCTTGATATCTAAATGTGCATGATGCTGGTCAGAAGTCTTGTGATATGTTTTATGTTCATAATTTAGGTTTTGGAAACTTGTGCTTCAGAAACGGTTGATATTATTCCGTCCTCTCAAACAGAAGAGGAACCAGAAAATTATCATATCAACGTAATGAATCCACCTATTGTTTCTCAGCCTACGATAGCAAGTTCGAAGCCTGAGCAGTCAAACCAAAATGAATGGAGAAATACAACCAGTCCTCTGAATAATTCTATTTGTGACTTCATCCCTGGTTCATTATCCTCATCTACACAAAATGTTCGTGATCCCATTTCATCGACTCAAAATCCAATGAGTAATATAACCCAGTGTCCAGAAACAAACTGGAGTTCATGTAACACACTCGTAGATGAAAACTGGCCCCCAAAGTTTTCTGATAAATGTCAGCGAAATATTGCTGTTACGGGTTCCAATTTATCACCTTCTGATACTGTACGTCTTTAATAATTGTCTCTTATTTCCTTTATTTCTTTTCTGAAGCACTGTGTATGTAACTTGGAAGGGATAACTAATATTGTCTTTTTTCACTGTGTATAAGGTTTGTGTGTTATTTATGTAAATGCTCGATGTGGACACCACCATTTGTCAAAAATGCTAGTTTCTAACAGTCTATACCAAACTCACCACCAAAATTCATTACTTGTAGAATTTCAGCATATCGTCCGATCATATTTTATTTGACTAGTCTTTGTTAATCTACTTCAACATTCCCAATCTAATCGTTCTAGATTACACCATAGCATGTGATTTAATCAACCTTTTTAATACAAAAGAATCTTGGTATTACTTGCATAATTAACAGCTTGTTAACATACAGAGCACCTGACTTGTCGTATACTAGGATAGTCTCGTACACTTCCAAGTGGCAGTCCTTCCATTAGCGATGGAATAGTACTTGACTGTATAGTTCTTAACTAGGTTCGATGAAGATTTGTAGTATATACGTTTATTCCAATTAAGTTGTAGCTTGATTATTATTTCGGGATGGACTGGTATCTTCAATCCTCATACTATAAATGCTGCTGGAAGCAACCACATTATTGCTAAGTTTCGTAAATTTATTTCGTCTTATCCATTTAGTAATATATAATATATACGTCTAATTAAAGTGAAACAATTGTTTGACTTTTTAGTATAGAAAGTAACACAGTTTCAAGATTTTTGATTTACTTTCCAGATCGATAAACTACTGTATATCGTCTGACTTTTCAGACTATTTAAATCGTGTCACTGCTGTGTTCATACATTTATTTCTCATTTGTCATAATCATGTTGTCAGGTGACTTTTTTTCTTTATTCACATTGAAATACATCTCATACTCATTCTTTCCTGATTTATATTTATATGTATACAGTTAGTTGGCTAATGGTTATCTTTTGAACTAGATTCGGTTGAGATTTTTGGACCTGTTACATGAATAAATCTTTTGTTTGACTACTTTTTATTAAACATTTCGTCAAAATAAAAAGATACTGGATTGGAATAAGTACTGAAAGGTTTCACTAATAAAAATACGGAGAATATAAAACTGACAGGACTGTATAAATATGACTATTTCTTTATCATTAAGTACAGTTATTTCAATTACGTTGTGTTTTACTTTCCTAAACTATTCTTATATTTAGGCTTTACTGCGTAAATTTTGTTTACAATTCAGTGTTTCGGAACATAGTCGTTTCATTCCTCAAAAGACAACTCATGTAGTGATTAAAGAAGAAGCAGGTAAGTAATATTACCTGACAAGATACTTCCAGTGCTATTCCAATACAATATGTTTAATTTTTTCGGCGGATGTTTTTGACGTTGATTTTATCAAAGGACAGAATGGTTAACGCTGTTGAGATAAAAGTAGAAAACCCTTTCCTTGCTTTCAGTAATATACAATTGTATTACCATGGAATTCGATAGCATTCTTTAAAACTTATTTAGCTAGGCCAATTGATAACCAAATATGTCCCTATTGAATCATGACTAAATAATTGGATTAGAGAAAATTTGGCAACTTTCCTTGATACGTAGAATATTAAAGCAAACGAAGCAGAAAGGATTGGACTAATTTAAGCTTGATCTTCAAGTTTTACGCGTATCAAATATATACCGCCTGTAATGTTATTTAACAAATCATACTATATTTTTGTGACAACCTTATAACAAACCATGAAATTTCACTAACTACAGTGATGGATTTTGCTGTTGTGTTAAAGAAAGCGAACGAATTATTGTTATGATTGAGATCATGAACCGATTGATGCTAGACCACTGCTTAAAACCTGGAAGCACTGGATGGACGTTTCGCCAGATTTTTTACGATAAGCCCTCAGTGATTACTAGTTTGCGGAGTGTTCAGTTTCTTTTACTGAAAAAGGGCTTATCTTTTCCCTTGACCTTAATTACTTCCACTTTTCAGTACCATTTCTATTATATCCTTGTGACATTCATTGTGTACACAAATATTGTCAGTCTTACTAATATATAATTTAGAAATTGAATAACAAAACAATTAAGCGAAGTATTCTTTTTAAATGGTTTCATTTATATATATATATATATATATATATATACTATAGTTTGGAAATGAATTGATTGAATTAATTGTTATACTACCAAATGATTTTGTGAAATTTGTGATCTAGGTCGTCCTCGTGTAGTTAAACGAACCTTAAAGTATTTTATGGGTATTCTAAATCGAGCATGGATTGTAAATACTGATTGGGTTCGTGAATGCGTGACATCCAAAAGACTTCTGGATGAGGTAATTTTGGTTGTACTTTTATCTTATGGTTTTCGAAAGTCCCTATTAGTTTTTCGCCTCAGTCATTTCTACATAGTTTCAAGCAACACTTCATAATGTATTAATGTAGAGGTTTTGTGGCGATTCGTGAAAACTTACGCATAATTTAACCTATCTCTATGATAAAGTGAATTTATGAGTGAATTTTTCATAAAGCACTAGTCATATATAACCGTCTCTCAAATATGATATACTTCAGAGTTAACTGAAAAAAGCCAGGATTCACTTTTAAGTACTTGCATTCAGCATGCATATATACATGGATCGACAACAAATTCGTTAAAAACATCCTCTCGTTAAATTTCATGTCTTTTGTGTCAAAATACAAATTATAAGTGACTAAGATAATATATGTACGTTTTCTTTTTTACCACAATCATTTACTTTTACCGATCTTCAACCATATTTAGATTTAAGTGTGAACTACTGCGCAGTATACTCGTCCCTTAATTAATAGACGGATATCTCGCCATCGCTATAGGTGACGTAAATTGGTAAAAGTCAAACGAGTTTTTTGAATCCGTTCAGAGATTTCGTCAGACACCAACCCATTCGGTCTGATCAGATTTCCAAGATACGTGAAGTTGTCTACGCGCTCGACTGCTTCACTCTCTATCCTTAGTTCAGGTGTTGACGCATGTTAGTCCTGAAGCAACAACTTGCATTTAGAGGGGGAGAAACACATCCCAAACAGCCAGGCATTGTTTCTCAGTGTTACCGAAAGACTGCATTTTATCAGCGTCTTCACCAAACAGAACTATGTCATCTGCGTATTCTAAGTCAATAAATTGACCTCCTGGAAGGAGATTAATGCCCGAGAATCCAGTCGACGAGGACGTTATTTCCGTCAGTATGTCTATGATGAAGTTAAAAAAATGGAGATATTGGACAGCCTTGACGGACACCATTTTGAGGTTGCAAAATCAAATAACAGTTCGCCATAAGCTCTCACTCGACTGTTAGTGTTTGAGTAAAGAGCCTTCACAAGGTTCACGTACTGCTGAGGTACACCTTTCAATGACAGACAGTGACACAGAACCTCTCGATCAACAGAGTCAAATGCTGCTTTTAAGTCAAGAAAGATCACCATTGTCGGACGCTGATAAGCATACTTGTGTTCCAGAACCTGACGAATGGTGAATATGTGGTCGATGCAGCCACGACCAGGTCTAAAGCCAGCCTGATTTTCTCGTGTTTGCAGTTCACGAGTTTTAGGCCTCCTTGATAATTACTGAGGCCAGTATTTTAGATGCTATATTAGTCAAACTAATCCCTCTATAGCTATCACAGGATGATTTCGACCCCTTCTTAGCAGCTGAAGGTAATCTAAACTGTTCTCTAAAGTGTTCCGCCCATCGTTCTAAACGTCTGGGCTGGGAGCAGATAAGAACGTCGTCTTTTTCTGAAATAGTCTCACTTACACCAGACTTTTTAGTTCCAATTTCTTTTATGAGTCTGAAAAGCTGTCTGGTGTTACCTATAGCCGCCGCCTTTTCCATCTATTTTGCTTTCGTTGCCCACCACTGTTCACGGTCGTTCCTTAGACTTTTGCTTAACCTAGATCTGATTTGTTTCCGATCTTCATCGTGTTCAGAACCTGATGGGATGAGTTTGCGAGAATCTATCAGTGCAATAGACCTTGAAGAAATCCATTGGTTTTCTGTAACCATTTGGTTCAAATCACCAATAGATGTCGCTTCTGTTTCCACAGATGTTCGTATATCTTTCCAAGTAACATCTGGGTCAGTCTCGTTTTCAGAAATGGCTTGGAATTTACCTTTGGCCTTCTCATCGCTGAGTTCAACTCTAATTAGTCTTCTTAATGTGGCTTTTCTACGTCCAGTGGGACGTAAGCAAACGTGTGCTCGTGTTAGAACATGATCAGAATCTAAACATGTCTTTCTGAACGATCGACAATCTTCTATCGAGCCTCTCCAACGATGACTGATGGCAATATGGTCTATTTGAGTCCGTCGTTGGTTTGATACAGCTGTTCGCCATGTTAGGCGATGTCTCTTTATACTTAAAATCAGTGCTTATTGGAAATAAACAATTGTCTGAGCACAGTTGCAGCAGATCACCATTATCTGTTCGCTGAACCGGAATACTAAAATACCCACCTAAATGTCTTTCTGTTTGGATTAAGCTACCCACTTTGGCATTAAATTCACCTGCTATGAATACTATGTCTGAACGTTTAGCTTTATGAAGATGTTCAGAGAGCTTTCTGTAAAAGTCATCTTTCATTTCATTCGGGCTGCAGCTAGTGGTAGCGTAAGCAGAAATAACAAAAAGGCAACGACGTGTGACCCTATCTTTCCGAGTTCTTACGGAGCCGTTTAACCGGACAGCCCATAGACAACTGTTAACAGGGATCCATCCCAATAGTGCTTGTTCTGCTCTCGTATTTAGTGCTATGCCAGTTCACGAGAACCAGTAATCTGGTCGTCAGATACACGGAGGGTGTATCTCGTTGTCTCTCTTTTTTGGCGAGGTGAAGTCAGGTGAATGAGCACACTAGGATCCTGTATGCGTGTTTCGGAGACACAACCAAGGAGTCCTGCTGGCCCATTTGACATAGGGTACATACGTTGAACGCCCCAATGTGTAGTTTTGAGCAAGGTTTCAGTAGACCTGGGACAGTATTTCGCGCACTAGAATCGGCCATGGTAGCACTCTAGGAGTAAGTTTAGAATTGGTAGTTGATGCAGGAGGAATAATAGGAATTGAAGAGTGAAATTGATTATGAAATACGGTGGTCTTGAATGCGATTCTAGATTTTCTAACTACTTTTATTATTTAAACAGCTTATTTTTAATGTCCATATTTTCTGTTTTAATAATAATAGTCGCCATATGAGATTGAAGGAGATACAGTTTGTGGCGATTGTCATGAGGGTCCTAGACGTGGTAGACTTGGTGTCCCAGCCATTCCTCAATCTCTTGATAGGTTACCTTTCCGAAATTCCTCCAGCCGATTGACTGAAGCTGAATCCAGTGATCGCCGTCCATTTTCTGAACTATGGCTCTGTGCATATCGTAATTTGGGAGCTCTACATGTGGCTGATTTTTGTCAGTTGGCATTAGATGGAGGTGCTACACGAGTTTTTGAAAAACCTTCGGAATTAATGGATGCAACCAATAAATTAACTGAATCTCTGGGAATTACAGGTACAGATGTTCGGAAACCACGTGCTGTAATTCTTACAGACAAAGATTCTTCTGAATTCAATCTTCAAGAGTGTCAAGGTACGTTTTTAGGATTATTAATCTGACTATGAGCGAATGTTTAGAGAGGATTTTTGTACATTGGGAGACTATAGCATATATTTTGCCACGACTGTTATAATAACTGTGTACCTATGAATCTTTCATATATCAATAATTAGCTGTAGAGACTTAGTAGTATCTCTTTTTAACAACAGAATTATGGTCAATTTACTGCGTTGTCTAACTAGTGTTATGACATCAAATATTTTATTACCGTAATGGTTAATTTCTTGACGAGTTACTTCTTAAAGGTTGAACCAGTGAGTATATGTTGAACATTTCATGCTTTACCCGTGATCTTCGAAAAAGTTTGTTTTCCATATCCTTGTACTGTGGATGAGGTATAGTTTCTAATAAAAATAAGTCTGAATATATTAAAATCCAATACTGGTGCTTAATTGTGAAACTTTATGTATGCGATTCTTGAAAAGGTACTTTTGATTGAAGCTACCTGTTTTCATCAGATCACTGTAAGGTTGTTAATGTACATTTTGTTCAAGAAATCCATGAAATAAAAGCTTTGGCTACTAATTTCTAATAGTACAGATGAGTACAATCCTACTTTTCCCACCAAAAGCAATTGACTGTTAACATTAATACCAACGAACTTATAGAAATTGATTCTTGAACATGTTGAATAACACAAGCGTTATAAGCCCATTCACTTCCCATTTATAATGACACAAGGTCAATATACCTAATTGTTGTCTGACGAAATGGTTATCCAGTACTTCGAATTTTTTAACGGTTGTTTAACTTAGATTAGTCTGTGACATAAATAAAATGAAACAATTTCCACAATCCTATACGAATAGTGTAAAATAATTTCATCAATTATTTTTAAGTATTTAATCACGACGTTTTTTGTCACTTATGTAAGTCACATTTTACTGATCAATATGTTTCTCCTTGTTAACATTTCAGAGCTCTATCGAGTATATGGTGTGCCTGTTATAAGTATTGAATGGATGTTGAACTGTATTTCATTATATCGTCGTTTACCAATTAATCAAGCTTACCGTATATGTCCAACTCCTCAACCTGTTTCTGTATCTATTTCCAAATCTTAATTACTGTGTGTGTATATGTGTACACATAAAATAAATTTACCATCTTTATATTATTATCATTTTCTTCTAATTTTCTTTCTACCTTCCAGTATATTTATCATAGTCATTTTTTGTGTAATATTTAATCTGTTCCCTGTTTTTCCAATTGTTTTACTCACTCCAAGTATTTGAAATGATTAAAACCAATACATTATTTATTGAGCTCTGTTAGTTCGTAACTTTTGGATTATCTGTAAAAATAATGATGAAGATTTCTTCATCTCTTGCTTATATTTTCAATGTTGGACACTTTGAAAAAGCTCTTGTTGAAAATGTTATGTTTATCGGGAAGAAGATATATTTGTAAATTTGTTGGTTATATATATATATATATATATATATATATATATATATATATATATATATATATATATATATATATATATATATATATATATATATGCTTTTTTGTTAACCAGTTGTTATTAGTGTCCACCTATTTCGGGGTTCTGTAAGTTTTTACTTGTTCAATATTTACGAAGTGTGTGACTTAAAATGTACATTGTCTTAAGTAAAGAGTACGTGCGTGGTAGATCCAAAGAGCAAAGTAGTTTGTACAGTAGTAAATCCGTACCAGCTGATTTATCTAAGGTGTTTGTTGTACGTCCTTGAATTCTACGTACCCTTCAATAATTGGTTATTTGTAACTAGGAAACTGATGTAAGCACTCTCCATCCTGATGACAGTGACATGCCACGAGTTTCAAGTTTTCATTTAGTGGCATATGGATCTTCTGTGTGGTACCCTGAATATAGTTGACGTTGGTAAGTTTCGAAGTGATGTAATACGCCTAAATAATCAGATCAGTAAACCGAATATATTTGTCATGTGTATTCACTCTATTATAAGATATTCTATTCATTATCCAGCACCGAATATTTCTACCCGTTTTCAATTTCATTTTGCATCCCCCAGAAGTTAATGTTCACGTTTGGTTAGTGAGTCAGTAATATCTACAAAGAATAAATATATATTAATATCATACTGTCCTCGAATTCTGTTTTCATTTGTTTGGATGGTGTGAAATTTTATTTGTCGTAAATACACAGGTTCAGTGATTGGTTTATTAATCACGATTGTAGATCAACACTGCATTTGCTTTTCCACTCTTATCGAAAACACGATTTACTTCCCAATATTTTATTAGAAATTTAACGGGAAATTATCCATCGTGATTTTTCAGTATAAGTTGATGTGTTTTTTCTTTAATTTTTTAAAGTATAAGAAATGTTGATTGACTTTTAAATAAGTGATTTCCATCTAAACTATTTTTGGAATGGTTGGTTCCATCTATATTTCTCATCGTACGCAACATTTTGGATTAGTTTGTCTTGGAATATCACTTGATAATTTCAGTTGTGGACATCGTAAATTATAATCTTCTTGAGCACATAGTAATCTGTGAAGATGTATACATCATTGTAAAAGTAAGTATTTTCTAAAAACTGCTCAGCTAAACATATTTTACAGAAAAAAGTTTCATAGTCTTAGTTATTCTGAGGCAAATTACCAAGTTATTGTGGAATTAGTCTATTCATAGCGTATAATGTTATGCTTGATTCTATTTTCTGTTTAAAAGTAAATCTTTTCAGCTGGTTTATACACTTAATACAGTAATCCTAAATGACAATCCATTCTTCTACTTTGAGCTACATAATGTCGAACGGTAAATTCATTTAATCACTGAGGAATGGAGAATACCGGACAGATATTTCGTCCTAGTATAGAACTCCTTAGCAGTGCTCACTCAAAACTACCAGGATCTCTACGTTTCAGCGAAAGCTTAACTAATTTGTGGAGAATAAACATACAGGTTGAATCTATCTCTGCAATACCCCTTCAGCTATTGTAATAAACTGTAAAAGATGCCTATTTAAGGTGAATTTCCAGATTAAATATATGCACCAATAGTGTGTTTGGAATATGTAATATGAAATGGGAGATATCTTGAATACACTGGACAAGTAAATTACATGTTTACAAAGGATTCTGTGGGTGGTTTCACTTTGCCATTCAAAACTAAGTCCGATCACAATATCAATTTTATCATCAGTGTGCTTTAAACAGTTAGTCTCATTTACTAAACAAACGAAGAATAAAATCGATCGATATGATCATAAAAATACTACAGTTGGAGGAATTCGAAAACAGTCTTTTCGAATGAGGAATTGTCTTCATCTGTAATCATTTTGATCGCCTCTTGTAGACCTAATCATATAAATTGCCAAAATGCATTAGTGAACTATGTTCATTAAGGTATCGACTGGATGGACTGTTTATTTTAATGAATTCCATCCAGCGAAATACCTTGGATTTTCAGTGATCAAATAATAAGACATGATTCGGGAATGTGCATTCACTTAGGTGGTTGTTAATTAGTTAGCCTCATATGCGTCAGCGATGTATCCCAGGAATGTCAGTCAATAAGTCTAATAGTTGAAACTGTCTCACTTTTACCGAGTGATTTTCAAAAGAACGGTATATCATTCATTGAAATAACGGTAACGATAGCTGGAAACTGCTTTTCAATGAGAAATGATCACTAAAACTAAACATTTCATTGAATAATGTACAGAATTTTCATAATTTCCAATGCACACAATTTTTCTGATTAATAAACTTGGCTAAGACAAGAGCAACGAATGTAGCAGAATGAAGTAAATTCATTAATTCTAGTCAGCTGTCTACAACCTGAAAACAATAGCAATAATTATTATAACCCATGTACATACTTGGTATCACATCAATGAGGATTATTAGGTTGACGACAATAAGTATGGGAGAACTATGGAGTGGTGAAGTGAACGAATATTTATGTTACTAACTGTATAAATCATTAAGTAGAAATTTTAGTAATACATGGAGACAAGTTTCTAGGGAACGAATATTGATGTCACACTTATGTAATAATCATAGTATTTAACAGGATAACAGTAAGGTGAGTAAAGCTCAGGAAAATTCAAGATTAAAAATGAAGTTTGTTGTTGTGACTATGATTTAAGGTATTGAGTAATTGAATAATGAAAAAGTAAAAGTAACCACGGTAGCGAGATATTTACAACTGTCTCTCGTGGAATACATAAATTTTTAAAATTTTTCTTAAAGAATTTTCACATTTAGTAACATATAGATATTCGTCAACTTTACCGTTTTATAATTCTTCCATACTTATTGCCGTTATTTTACTAATGTTCGATAATATGATATTAAAATAAGTATATTAGTTATAGATAATAATTATTTTTACTTTTTGGTTGTAAATAGATGACAAGAATCCAAGAAATAAATAAATTTACCATATTCTGCTACATTCTTTGTTCCTATTTTATTCAAATTTTCAACTTTTCTCAAATATATTTCCTTACCTTGCTAGTGCTTCTACGCATTCATTTACATTTTCACCCGTCAATGCACTTGTTTCGAAGAAAAGTGCCCCAATGTCCTGGAATTTTTGTCAAAAAACATAGATGATGTATTATCGCTATTGCGTTGTCAAGAATACTACAATAAATCTATGTAACTTAATAGTAAACTATAATTCACGAAACAAAAGTTGTTAATGTCAAAATAATCATGGAAATTAAGCCTACTATTCCGAAGACTTCCTAACACCTGTCAGTTGGCACAAAATGTGGTTTTAGTTAACAAAAAAAATCAGCCAACTAGTAATAAAGAAATAAAAAAATAAATCTTCATATTAATTTGTTCACTTGGCGTATACTTGCTCATTTTCATCAATCACTGATCTATTAGTGTCAGCGCTGCTGATAAAATTTGTCTTCGAAATCTCTATTTTGAACGTGATGGTGACAAGCTTTGTTTCTAGATCACCCGCCAGGCTTATTTTTGATACTAATTCATCTGTGATTCATAACCTATGACCTTAGCTACATGAAAGCACTTAGTAGGGACTCATGCAACTTTCCACTCTTAAGTAATGGCTGTTTGAATTGATCCAATTTTTTTTCCAAAGTTCCACAGTAATTTATAACTGTTTTTACTTTTTACAATTCTCAAATCATAAATTTTATACCACCGTCAGGATAGTCATTTTAACGTTGATTGGATGAAAATATTTATCCTAGTTAAAACAATTTGATGGAAAATTTATCACTAGATGCTAGGTTCTAGATCATCCAGTTACTTCATTATGACCTCGTTTTTGATATGTTGAACTCTATTGATTGGTCTAAAACAGCACCCTTTTTGAATTTTTGTATACCTTTGTTAAGTTACTTATATTGACGGGGGATGATTGAAAAATTTAGAAGTAACTTTTGACTTGGAAAATGATAATTTAAAGTTAGGATATTTGAAAAATGCAAAAGTATGTTAATGAGCTCATCAGTAACCCTCACAATCAACTAATGTTATAAATGATTACAGTTGAAATGAAAAATTGAGTACGTTTATTTCATATTTTTACAATCTTGTCAGCGGCTACTTACAGTTGATAATCTTACTTTTCTTCTATGAATGAAATTTGTTACAGTATTTACCTGGTCTTGTAGACTGAAAATGGATTTTAATTCGTTTGTATGGGCTGTTTTAATCTTCCCCTTAATGTTCTATAAGTTACTTTTGGCATGCTAGTGTTAATGTTCATTTTGGTAATCGAAACCAAAACCGTCCGCTTCGGATCTTGGAGTGAATATCAGCCGTGGGATGCATGTACGTCGGGTTATATATATAGCACTTGAGAGCTAGTTTGGGATTCTTCAGCACTCCTAAAGTTACAAGGAATCATATTTAGAACTTCCGGGTATTATAGTGAGAAAATTACCTTTAAACCCTTGAGTCATAATCTTGTGATTAAAAGGTTTAACTTTAGTCAATTCGTGATTATTGATTAGTTTGACGCTCACCTGAGCCAGTTTACTGCCTATTGCGTAACTAACACATTTGTTTCCTTGCCACTCTTTCTGCTCTTTTAAATCTTTTTTATTTCCAATAATAGCGATGGGTATTTGTTTGCCAGCATTTTCCTAAAAATTGAATCAAAAATAAATATGCATGACTTAAAAAAAAATAAATTATGACTCCGTTTAAAATGTTTATCCAAAGACTTTTTAACAATCTCCTTTCAGTGACAAGCACTGCCATAGAACCTCACAATCAACCGAGTCAAATGCCGCCTGAAGATCGAGAAATACTACTATTGTGGAGCGTCTGAATGTGTGTCTATGTCCTAGGACCTGACAAGGCAAAATATTAATTGTCGATTGTAAACTAAAAGTAAGCAAACTTTCATCTTATCAGGTCAAACAGAACGTGATGTGATTCTAATTGTTAACTAGTTTTCATGTGTTTGGCATT